GGAGGAGGAGGAGGAGGAGGAGGCGGAGGAGAAGAAGGAGCGAGCCCGGCACAGACTCACAGGCGAGCTGGAATTCCAGGCGCATTGCGTCTGCGTCCTTCAAGCAGGGCATGTTTCGTGTTAGATTAGATATGTAGAAAGTTTATCTCGTCAACGGTATGGGATTCTCATGACACTTCAAATGTTGCTTTGCTCAAAGGGCTCGAGAAGTTTGAGCAAGCTCAACTTTCGGGGTTCTGGTTGCAGGGTCTCCTGAACACGAAGGGGACATCCCCATTTATGTTATGTCTGTTTGACAAATTTATCGTGGATAACGGTGGATGTGGTAGAGTCTTCGACAATCCATGATTTTGTCTGTATTTCAGTCCATCTAGCAAGATATCCATGTCTTGGAAATCTGGATTTGAATTCCTTGAACATTCGATCGGTCTGGTGATATTACAATATCCAACTCAGATTCCTGGCAGTCCCCCATTCGCCAACATTTGGGTTTCAGGAGATGCCTCTTGACATGGTTCTTCCTATAAGTGTCTCTTCCGCTTCAGTACATCGGCCTGCACGTCCAGGTAATCTGTTGAAACTTTTCTTCCGATATTCTGTACAGGGTTTCTTTTATGAATCACCGTATCTCGGTCAACGCGTCCATGATCCGGTCCAGTCGCCAGCCTTGGGCAAGATATACCCCTGTTCACACGCGAGCGCAGGTCGTTTTTGTCCACGGTATTGTTGTTCGTCCATCGTCAGTGATGACCCCCTAAAACTCACCGAAAGCGGAAAGGGCAAACATAAGTCCGAAACTGATTTTAAACGCCAGATTATCATTGATTGCACTGCGCAGGTCAATGTTCTTGAAGTAGCGCTGTAAGCGCTCCACTGGTATGATATTATATCCTCTTCGTGCGGCAAGTTGCGAGACGACAATGCCCAGTCCGATCAGTAATGTCAAGCTTGTGGAAAAAGCCGACACCACCAGTCCTGCGGCCAGCCCTAGTATGGAACCCAAACTTATTTGCTTGACAGCAGCGGGATTGATTGTCTTTCCATCTTTTGTGAGGGGAACCTTCGGTCCGCGGGAATTTGAGGAGGTGCTGCTAAACTCAGCGGTACCCGCGGGAGGTGGTGAGTAGGGTGAAGAGTCGAGCCTAATGATGGACGAAGATTGGATGAAAGGCAGGGAGGCCGTGAGTCCGAATGCAACAAGAACAGGTCGCTTGATAGCAGGCCGTGCTAGAGGAGCAGATATCGATTTCAAGGCCGAAGGAAAGGAGAGGGAGGGTCGTATTACGGTTCGCAGTAGCATCGTGCTTGGTTGAGTCCAAACTAAAGATCTCGACAACGGAAACGGGGAGCAAGACCCTGAGGGGTAGGAGGAGATGCTGACTACTTGGGGCAAAGACGTGTAAGCAGAGAGGGTAAATGTAACTGCTATGATGTGGGAACGAGCTGAACAACCAACAGACGAAATCGATGTGCGGAGAGTTGAGGATGGAAGTGAGTGAGGAGTGACTTGGGGTGAGTAAGAAGCCGTGGAAGCGTTTCCAGCACCCTGGGAAGTCCATGATGTCATTGGCCGCAGGTACGGGAGACTTGCGGTTGGGTACCGAGTACAGAGTCACGAGCCACCAAAGAAGAGACACCAAAGCTGCCTGCGCCCGCCACCTCCATCATCCCCAACTCACCAAGTTCCGCACTATCCTCATGTCACTCATCAGTCACATCTCCCGGCCTGATTACGGGAGTCTTTACAAGCACCGGGAGGTCTAGTTTGTTTGGGGCAATTTCTTCGCCCAACCATGGACACGCTCGCCTTTTCCCGAGCCAGCGACTGAATCCCCATCCCGGCTGCCGGAGTCTAGAGCCATGGATCCTTCAGGATCCCAGTCCCTTGACATGTTCCGAAGGCACGAATGCCAGCAAACTCTTTGCCGAACTTTATGGAGGGAGTGGACCGACATCATGTTGGCTTCTTACGGCATCCCAGTTCGTTACCCATCCCGCAGGGTCAGATGGGTGGAGTCTGGGGAAAGGGGGTATTTCCGGAATCCTGACTATATATGGTGAAGACACGACATTGAGGGAGGTCACATATCCTTCTCACACTGAGTCTTCTCATCTCATCAGTAGACTTAAAGCCAGCCCTCAGACTCAGACACAGACACTAATATGTCAGGCTCAGTGACTACCAACGGCATGCCCGAGATCACTTCGAAGGTGGTGGAAACACCACTCCTCATCATTGGTGCGGGGCCAGCCGGTGGCTCATTGGCGTGCTTCCTTTCCCATCCGCCCTATTCAATGACTGGTATTATGATTGCTGCTGCAGCGACAACCTCACAGACACCGAGGGCGCACATTACGAATCCAGCCGCTTTCGAATGTCTCCGGGATATCGACCTAGAACAAACTTGCCTGTCCCAAGCAGTGGAGGGCGACTGTATGGTTCACACCCGCTGGTGTCATGATATGACTGGTGAAGAGTATGCTCGAATTTATTCGTGGGGCAATGACCCGAAAAGACATGGAGAATACGAAGCAGCCACTCCTTGCCATCACGTCGACTTGCCTCAAACGATTTTTGAGCCTATTTTGGTTCAGCGAGCATCGGCTCAAGGCTGGGATGTCAGGTTTCGGACCAGCTTCGTCAGTTACGAGAAAGAACAAGACGGAAAAATCCTGAGTCGAGTACGAGATGACTTGACTGGCGCCGAATACTACATCCGCTCTCAGTATCTGTTTGGGTGTGATGGAGCACGGAGCCAAGTCCTGCGACAGGCCAAGATCCCGTTGATCAGAAAGCCAGGCCAAGGATTGGCTTTGAATGTCTTGGTCAAAGTGGATCTCAGTGATTACGTCGAGGCCAGGAAGGGAAACCTACACTGGGTATTTCAACCCGAAAAAGAGTACCCAGACTTCGCTTGGAGCGGGTTGATCAGGATGGTCAAACCCTGGAATGAGTAAGCAAGACCCTCATTTCTTGCGTCGTACAGCAGCTACTAACCAAGGCTCCCAGATGGATGTTCATTCTCTTCCCCAAACCTGGGACAGAGTGGAAAGAGCCAACCCGGGAGCAATACCTCCAAAGATGCAAAGATATCGTTGGCCGAGATGACATTCCCTTGGAAATCCTTGATATCTCCAAATGGAACATCAATGAGATCGTGGCAGAGTACTACTCCGAAGGAAACATCTTCTGCCTCGGAGACGCCGTGCACAGGCACCCTCCCTTCAACGGTCTAGGCTCCAACACCTGCGTACAGGATGCTTTCAATTTGGCATGGAAGATTAAATACGTCACCCAGGGCCTTGCGTCTCCCTCTATTCTCGAGACATTTAGTCACGAACGGCAACCCGTTGGCTTGGGTGTAATTACCCGAGCGAATCAGGGTATCCGGGATCACGTTCCTGTCTGGAAAGAGATGGGTCTGATGGAAGAAACACCCGAGAAGAGAATGGAAATCCTCAACAGTCTCAAAACAGCAACACCTGAGGCCCGGGAACGGCGAAAGCGAGTCAACGCCGCAATCGAGTGGACGAGTCAAGAATTCCATGGTATCGGTGTGGAGATGAATCACCGCTACGAATCGACAGCCGTGTACCTTGACGATGAGATCAAGGCCGGTACTCCCAAGCCTGAATGGCCCGAAGATGCTGTTCTACATCACAAAGTCAGCACTTACCCCGGTCATCGGCTGCCTCATGCATGGCTGAATCGAACCCTACCCGTCAAAGATCACACCTCGACAATTGACTTGGCTGGGAAAGGGCAATTCTGTCTACTTACCGGTATTGGAGGCGAGAAGTGGGTCGAGGCTGCCGAGAAAGTTGGCACGGAGCTTGGTGTGCAGATCAATGCCCACACGATCGGATGGGGACAGGAATGGGTCGATGTATATCGGGATTGGTGAGTCTTCCCACACGCGTGACAAAGCTTCCATGACTGACTTGTATTGCCAACAGGGAGCGCAAGAGAGAGATCGAGGAAGATGGATGTATTCTTGTCAGACCCGATCGGTTCGTTGCATGGCGATCAACAGGCCTTCGAGATGACTGTACCGAGAAGTTGAGCGAAGTCATGAAGAGAGTCCTCGGACGGTCATAGCCATGATCCGTTCGATTCATTCCTGTGTTTAGGGTCCCGGTCTTTGAAAGAGGCGTGTTGAGCAGATTTCGGGAAATGCATTGAGATGTTATATGTTTCGGACTGCATAATCTGCGTCGCATGACTTGTATAAATTGTCAAATTGAGCAGGTTTTCTCTGGAGAGATCCATTTCAAACGGTTCAGCGCTACGAAGCAGTGAAGTACAATAAAGTCCGCCTGTAGATCGGTGTAGGGAGAGCGAAGCTACAAATCCTCAGGAGTCCTGTGGCCATTTCTCGCAAAGTTCTTAGCCTTGTCCATCTCATTGACATTGATACTTCTACACAGCCCTCATCCGTCTTCCTTTGCCTTGTAGGGAGGAGTACCCACCAAATTTCACAGACCCACCGGTTCAAAAATCACATTATATGAATCAAACCGTCCGAAATTGAGTCAGGAATTCGCACAGAGAATATTCCCAACAACAGGGTTCACTGCCCTCCTCTGAGGTCACATCCAGATGTGACCTCGAGGTTAACAGATCGCAAGATTGGTTCAATGGTAGAATTCATCGTTGCCATCGATGAGACCCGTGTTCGATTCACGGATCTTGCAAGCCTTTTGTTTTTTTGTTGTGTTTTTGAGATTGATGTTGATACATTTTTGGAGGTATGAATTGCGAGTGTTCAAGAATGGAGAATATGTAGCTAGTTAAGACGACCGGTTAATTCTCAGGCCGTGTGTGTATCAGAGGGGAAACCTCCCAGAGCTCGCGACAGGTAACCCATCTAATCTAGGCTGCTTTGGTAGGAATCAGTTGACCAGCTAGGGTGGAATGTCTGCGTGGAACTGGAGGATGATGTGTGCGTGTGTGCATGCGGGCAAAAAAATCTTTGTTAGGTGCATCCGCAAATTCCACTTTGGCTGGATCCACCACATGTAGCAGCCAGTACGGTGCGCCGTGTTAGATGCTTCATCAGCTGACAGAGCGGATCCAGATGAGAAGAGAGAGAAACACTCTGTTTGGGCTCAAGAATCTATCAACGCCTCAAAAGAGGTAGAGACACATCGTCACCTTCAACTTCGCAAGATAAGCGCCCGCTGCGGCCGAGGTTGATATGCGAACGGCAAAGGTAGGAGAGGGGGATTTCCGAGAGCTAACCTCTTTTGGGATGGCATGTAATCAAGGGGGTTATACCGAAACACTCAGACATCTTAAACCTCTACTTGGTCCATTCGTATGAGGTATACTTGGTATTCCCGGTATTCCTCCTCCCAACACCGCCCGGTATAAAGCCCGAAGGTCAATCAATCATAAGAATTGCCCCGGTTTGCGGCTCGAAACTCTGCCAGCACCAGCATTTTTCCTCTCTCAGCCTAGGCGAACCTTTCTCCACAACCTCATACACTCGAGCATGTCCGATCCCACCTTTCCCATGACTGCGTTGTTCGAAGCCATGGCGTCCGCAATGACTGCGACAAGGGCAACTGCGAAGCAAAACGCCACTTTATCCTGGTCTCTCTCCAGCATATGGTACTGTTGTTTCTTCATTCCTCCAGCTGTGGCCCAGGCCATCCATTCGTCCAGGATCCCGATGATTCTCATTGCTTCGCCCTGGTCCTCTTCCGTCTGGCCTTCCTCGTTCTGCTTTTTACTTGGATCCTGTAAATCCACAATCATCAAATAACAAACGGCCTCGGCCAGGTCGTTCACGGTCCATTCTCTCCCTACTTCCCCCTTCTCTATCAACCAAGTCAGGCATGCTTCACTGACGCGCTTGATGTCCATCCTCGGACTTGCGATCGCATCCACAATCCTCCTTTCCTCCCTCTCCTTTTTCACGGCAAAGGAGTTCATCATGTCATTGTGCCGCTGCTGTCTCTCATTCGCCTCTCTGTTCATCTTGTGAATCCGAGCTTGTTCGACTGGCATGGTTGCCTCCAGTCTCTCTGCAGCCATACGAGCTTGAAGCCAGTGTTGGTGTTGCCGTGCCAAAACCAACCCGTCGTTGACATTGTCCTTTTGAGACGTCCATTGCGGCGCGTCGCTTTCGGCCAGAAGGCCGAGCAGGACCATCACACCGCATGGAATCGTTTCTTTACGAACAAAGGTCTTGATCTCCGTGGGAGTTTCGAACGCCCAGAGCCCGCCACTGGTGGTGTTTTTGTGTGCGAGTAAAGCTGATGCCGCGCAGGTAAACCATAGCCCTGCGGAGGATTGTTCGTAGTTTCGGAAAGGTGTGCACACGAAGCCCGTTTCGACGTTCTTGCGTTCCCAGAGGAGTTTTTGGATGCGATTATCTTCGGTGTGGAACCGGAAGCTGCTGCTGTCCATGCTGTATTTGTTTGCCGACTTCAGGCCCTCAATCCGTGCCGGTAAGTCTTTCTCGTTCTCTTTGTGTTTCTCATTAGCTTCAAGCAGGGCGGGTTGAGTCAGTCGACCCCAACCTGGAGGAAGGCTTTCTGCTCCTCTCAAGACTCTGCTGGACGTCGTTTCTTCTCGAGTCCATCGTATTGTCAGACTCAATATCCCGTCACTATCATCGGGCATGCTTGTTCGCAACACCCAGTCAACGCCTCTTCCTCTTTTTCTAGTGCTCTCATCACTATCGTTATCATTTTCAGGTTTCTTCAGCAAAACCGTCCCGCTCGGGGTCCACAAACCGCCGCTCCTCAGTTTCTCCCACCCCATCCCTTCTGGAACAGCACCCCAATCCAGCAAAAATATCACTAGCTCCTCAAAGCTTACCTCCGCGGGCGGTTCCCTCAATTCGTCCTCATATTGGATCCTGTACAACTTTTTACCAACAATGAGCTTTTTCCAGTGGAAACCTCGCCAGCTGCCACCCCGCAAAAAGCCACGCACACGTCCTTCCTCGATCATGGACAGAGTGCTTTCTGCACGGTCCAGTGTCAGCAGATGGTGATGTTCTTCTGATGCTTCTCTTCCTTCTGCCGTGGTGTTCCAATAATCGTCATGTCCGCGTTCAAGAGGGGCAATGGTATATCGAGGCAATTCGACTTCGATCAGGCTGGTCATTGGAGAGCTGCGGATGGTAAAGCCATCGTGTGGGCGTGTCGTGCTAACAGGTCTGTGACCGTGGTCGACAAGGGCGGCGCGTATCCGGCGCTGTGTAAGGATGGCAAGCATGAATGTGTACAGGATGGGCAGAACACCTAAGACGGCGAGCGGCACGCCAATGTACGTTATTATGTCTGAAGCATTCGCCATGGCGTGGTCTTCGCGTATGGCTTCGCCTCGAGAGGCTAGTTATTGGGTTCCTCGCTCGAAAGAGAGTCAGGGAGGCCTCCAGTCGCCTCTCATAGAATATTCGGAGAGCAGCAAGCCAGGCTGCATCGCAGGGTCAGTCGTCGGCAGATGGCCGCTGCTGCGCATGTTTTAGTACCGTCGAGTTGACGACAGAGGGCTGCGCAGTCTAGAGAACGGAACGAGGGTCAGCCAGAAGAGGTAAGCTATGATCAAATCGGACGGCAGAGGGGCGCAACGGGGGCCATGAGCAGAGAAAAAGGGGCAAGCCAGGGTATAGGGATGTTTCAGCCTTGTCAGCCTCGCCAGTATCGGGATCGTAGCCAATCAAGCGTCACTACAAGTAGCGAGAAGCTTGTGGTCTGCTAATTCGTACAGGGGTAGGTGGTCATGGCCTCACAATATTATGTAAAGGTACCAGGTACTACTACCTCGTAAAGATATCCCGACCACATTGCGTTGGTCTCGCTGCACCAACAGCCCAAAGGTTAGATACATGATAAGGCGCAGCTGACATCATGCTCGATGTCACGTGTCTGCGGTGAAAAGTAGCTCCAGTTCCGCCCAGAAGTTATCGAGTGAGGACAAAGAACAGCAATAGCAAATGGTGATAGAGTGCTGCAACTCGCGGTCTGCGTGTGTGAATGAAGAATTTGTTCCATCAGTACGATGTTCGATGCTAGCTGCAAAATTCTTTGCTGCACCTATTTCGTCACCCGCCGCAGAATTTTTGCACCGGCCAGATAAATTTTTTGCTGGGTTCGCGATTGGTCGAATGAGAGCCTCCGCCTGCGGCGCCTGCGGTGAAATCTTTGCCCTGTCCTGTCCGACCCAGTCCAATCGATCTCCTCCACCAATCTCTTCCTGCTCCATCTCCACAGAACCTACGTCTTTTCTCTTTTCGTCTGCGAAGAAAGAATTTTGTGCAAAACGACCTTGCAGAGAAACTAAGACTTGCCTTCGTAAGGCTCTGATACTTTCTGCATCCATTTTGCCTGCACGAAACCCGCCATCGCGTTCATGTGCTTCCCCAGCATCTTCACCTCTCAAGTAAGTTGTTTTTCTCTTTCCTGAAGCCCGTCCCCGCCAGCCCACTGATAAGCACCTCATTTCCTTGTGTCACTACAATACCAACGTCATTTGCAATCTGTTGCTAACATATCGACTTGTAGGATTACATTAGTGGTAAATACCGACCTCCCCTTTACACTTCTTGACATCTCTGACCCCGACGGTAGATCATTTGTGGAAGGCCCAGGCAAACTAGCGGTCAGGAAGAAAGGAAAAAAAGATATACGAGTCATAATATTGCAAGATGTTTTCAAAAGCTTTGAAACAGTCGACTTTATTGCCCAAAGCGGCCAACATCTTCTCGGGAGCCTCTGCCCTACGAGCTCGATCGCTGGCGACTGTGGCGGACAACACCACTCGACAACAGCAGTTCAAAAGCACCACCCCGACTCGAGAAAGGGCGACATTTACCATCCGTAACGGACCGATCTTCGACGGCGTATCCTTTGGTGCTCGGAGCAACGTCTCGGGAGAGGCCGTGTTTACTACCTCGCTTGTGGGATATCCTGAGTCACTCACCGATCCCTCATACCGTGGCCAGATTCTGGTCTTTACTCAACCCCTGATCGGTAACTATGGTGTTCCCTCCAACGCTCGAGACGAGCATGGCCTTTTGAAATACTTTGAGAGCCCGAACATTCAAGCAGTGGGCGTGGTGGTTGCGGACGTGGCAGAGAAATATTCCCACTGGACTGCTGTGGAGAGTCTGAGCGAGTGGTGTGCAAGGGAAGGCGTTCCAGCCATCAGTGGTGTTGACACCCGGGCCATTGTGACCTTTTTGCGAGAGCAAGGTTCCAGCCTGGCTAGAATCACCATCGGAGAAGAATACGACGCAGATCAGGACGAAGCCTTTATTGATCCGGAGCAGATCAACCTTGTGCGAAAGGTCAGCACCAAAGCTCCCTTTCATGTCAGCGCTGCGTCTCCTAATGCCCACATCGCCGTGATCGATTGTGGTGTCAAGGAGAATATTCTTCGCAGCCTCGTCAGCCGAGGTGCCAGTGCCACTGTCTTCCCATTCGACTATCCGATCCACAAGGTTGCTCATCACTTCGATGGCGTTTTTATCTCCAACGGCCCTGGTGATCCAACCCACTGCCAAGATACTGTCTACCATCTGCGGAAGTTGATGGACTCGTCTCAAATTCCCATCTTTGGAATCTGTTTGGGCCACCAGCTCCTTGCTTTGGCCGCTGGAGCCAGGACCGTCAAACTCAAGTATGGCAATCGAGCACACAATATCCCAGCTCTCGATCTTACGACCGGGAAATGCCACATCACCAGCCAGAATCATGGATATGCGGTGGATGCAGCAACCCTGCCAAAAGGCTGGAAGCCTTACTTCCTCAATCTGAACGACAACTCTAACGAAGGTAAGCTGTCGTTCTGGTTAGTGACGGGTTTCAAGTTCTGACAATGCCATACAGGTCTTATCCACGAATCTCGACCCATTTTCTCGACGCAGTTCCATCCGGAAGCCAAGGGTGGTCCGCTTGACTCGTCATACTTGTTCGACATGTACCTGGACAATGTACAGAAATACAAGGAGAGCCAGGCGGCGTCTCAGCCTTACCGAGACAGCAAACCAAGTCCTCTCCTGGTCGATCTCCTGGCGAAGGAGCGAGTGGGTGTCGACTTGACCCAAGGCATTCAGAACATGATGGCCTCGACGACGCAGGAACCTGAGCGCGTATACGCAGCTGGCGCAGCATAACGAACCAATCAATCGAATGTGGAAACCACGGATATTTGGCGCACCTTGGGGAATCGAATAACTTTTTTGTTTGAGAAATAGCAAGTTTCAGAAATTGACTATTTGATTGTTGTACTCGAATTACAACGTGAACTCCTGACTACACCGTACTCCTCGCTACTGCTGCTTCATTGTGACCCCCAACGTTGAACCTTTCAAAAGGAAAAAGAAAAGCGCCAGTGTGCCCATATACATGACAAGTCAAAAAAGTACCGAAGAGAAGAAACCAAGGTTGAAATCTCATGTTGGATCCCCATATTACCAGACTCCTCTCCCCTGTCATTCACTCACTCCCCGAGTCGCAACCAACGCCCCATGCATGCTATCAAATCCAGAACTGGGGTCCAGGTGTCTCACGGCAGTGCATCGGGAGAAGAGGAACCCTCAGAGATCTGTCTGAGCAAGTCGGAGTCGTACTGGGGCTGGATCATGGGCCGTTCGTTGGAGCGCTTCCGGCGGATCTTGGGCAGGCGGTAGAAACCGAAACCGTAGGTGTTTGCGCCGGTGCCGTAGCCCCGCGTGACTTGGGAGATGTCGAGCATGCTCTTGATCCAGGCCATGTAGTCCGGGTTGTCCTCGAGGGCTTTGCTCGCGAGGCCCAGCGGGAACAGCCAGAACAGGGCCGAGTCGCGCCCGCTCTTGGCGGCGAGGAGCTGGAACTCGAACGCGCGACAGATCTCGACGGCCGGCTCGACCAGCGAGTCGACGTCGCCGGGTAGGAAGAGGGCGGACGGGCTCGAGAGGCGGACGTCCGCCGGCGAGTCTGATTCCGGGGGTTTTAGCGTCCACAGCAGGCCCAGCAGGAAGAGGAGGATGGCGTTGTAGAGCGCCAGCTCCGTGGCCTTTGTGAAGGAGGAGAAGACCAGCACTTTGCGGATGGGGCGCGGCTGGGCGAGGATTTGGTCGGCCATGGGCAGCGTCTCCGGGTCCACCTCCCACGCGACCGTCGGGTTCATCTCTTCCCACTGCCACCGCCAGTTGTGGGCTTTGGCGATCTGGTACTCAATCCGCTGGATGAGTTCGAGCCGAAACTGTTCCGACGATGCCTGTTCGAGCTGCGCCTGGTCCTGCAGGAACCCGGGGATGTGGACCAGGATGTCGACGAGGCGATTCTGTGGGGTTTTGTTGTATTCGCCGCACGTCGCCCACGGTTCGCTCAGCCATTCCGGCTGCTCTAGAAAAGTTCGCGTCCTGGTGATCAGCGACACGGTAACCTGCGGCGGCGAAGAAGGTACATCAGCGTTCACGGAGCTCAACATCCGGCGTGAGGGGAGGCTCTCAAGTTCGCTTACCAGCGTGGCCCGACATGATTCAAATGCGAGCCTCAACGCGCCGGTCGCAAACCTCTCTGGGCCGCAGATTTGGATGAGGTTCAGCAGTCCTTGAATGTGAAACGCAGAGGCCTGAGGGTCTGGGGTGCTCGACTGTTTTATATTTTGTTTGGTAAGCCTGCGGAGGCACCCCTGGTAAGCGAGGGTTGCAGCTAACTCACGGAGTGCATGAGAAGGATCATGATAGGTACGATCAGATTCTCACTACCCGGCGCCCCCACATTCGACAGTCGAGATGATAGGGCCCGAACTGTCTTGTCGTAATGTATGGCGCCGTTTACTTCTATCTCGGCTTGCCGATGGTGCCTCCCGAAGATGCTGAGAGAGAACGCTCGACAGGCCTCCAGTGACAGGGCGTCAAGCTTTCCCTCAGCAGACATCTGGAGCCACGGCGAACCATAGCTGCTCCACACGAAATTGTCAAAGAGATAGGAGAACTGGATATTGTCTCTGAAGGCCACGAAGCTCAGCTCCTTGGGTATGGCACTCGAGCTCGGCGGGCTGTCATTGGACCTGAGTACAAGATCCTCGGGCACACCTCCAGCCGTCAAGGGGGGATCTTTGCTGGTCTTTGTGGACGGTGACATGGCTGGTTCCGCCTGATCTGCAAACGTGTGGAAACGCATCTCCAGCTTTCTCTCATAGCCAGCGCATGCGTATCCTGCCTTTTCGCATCGCTTACAGGTCGGACGGGCTTCATCTGGAACGCCACGAGAGTCAGCTATTGGTCTAGAAGACGAATCCCCTGAGACACCACCACAGATGGTTCACGTACCGCACTTGACCCTTCTTTTCAAACACGTATGACAACCCTTACTGCGTCCGGGAACACCAACCATGTTGTTGAAGAAAAAGTCGACACTATCTGCATCTCGTCCATTGATGCCCCAAACGGGAGGACCATACTTTATATCAGACCCGATGGATAATGTATCCCTGCGAGGATTTGTGGGTTCCCGTCACGGCCACCACTGGGACATGCTCATGCCCATTTCAGCGGGTTCCACATGGACAAACGGTAGACATATTGACGCAGGGACGATCATTCGCAGGCTCGGAGGGAACGGGGGATCTCAGCCCCAACTGGCAGCTCCAGTGCCCAAAGAAACGGTGGCATAGGTTTGAGACGTTTGAAATCGCCGGCCGGGGATTTCCATTTCTTCGTCGACTGCAGACGAGGCCCTAAGGCCAGAAACAGGACCAATGTTAGCGTGCGCCATACCTGATCAAGGTCGTGCTTGGGGCGTTGTGGCTGACTCCAAGTGGGCCAGGGGTCATAGGCAATTGCGTCAGTATTTTGAAAAGCACACCCTAGGGATCATTTACGAGTTTAGCGACGATGGTCGGGAGCAGGATGGGACGCTACGAGAGGTTGAACAGGTCCATGGGCTGCTGACTTGGATCTTTGTTGCTGTCCGTCTCATGCTTCCTAATGGGGAAAGGCGCAGTTCTTGGCAATCACGGGGCTGAGTCGGGCGGCTTTGTCTTTCTTTCTCAAATATTACCATGGACTACCTACTACTAGGCACCAACGCACCCAGGTACACAAACAGCAGCCAACCAAACACCCACCAAGCCACCGAGCCATCCCTATACTAGCCTGTATTATTTGATATACAGCTTTCAGCCTCGGGAGCAAAGCTGGACTCCCCGTCCCCATCACATGGTTCAAATCACTCCAGCTTCGCGTTCAAGCTTCTGACAAATTTCTTAGGCAAGCTGTGACGCTACACAGCATTATTCTCGCTGGCTACGATACACAATTCCCCTTCTAGCCCCCACTGCGTGAAGCCGCCCTGTGCGCTCTAAGCGAGACAACCACGCCTCAGAGTTCCCCGACGGCGCAGTCATTGGCGGGTTGTCGCTGAATAATAAAAACTCACAGAGGCCCATGGCTCCACAATTATACGAGGCTTCAAGGACTCAAAAGGTGCAAAATACTCGATACAATTCCTCCTCATCATTGCCAAGGAGCTTTTATGCTCGCTATCTGCGCTCCCTAGACTCCCGATGAATTTTGTTCGGCCGACCCGATTACAAGGATGGGGGTGCGTTACCTACACTTTCCCTATCAGGCAAGACCAGCGATACCAGATTCGGTGAATGGTCCAACGCGTGTGCATAGCTGCAGGTTTGGTCGCATTCATCACATTATCTAATACAGGCTTCGAACCCCTCAAGCTTCACACATAAGCAATTATGCTGTCTTCGCTAGACTCGCGGACACTTGGACTCGGAGGTGCGAAGTTCCAGGTAGGCTTCGACTTGTGTGCAATGGTCCATTGGCGATGGTCAAATAGGGACCGTTGGACCTTGCGATTGCATGCACCAATCCATTTCGGACGTTACCACACAAAAATGGTTTCCATCTGCCGTGCCGACCTTTCCATTTCACATATCCTATCTCCTTACGCTCTCAGCACTAACTAGACTGGGGAATTATGGGCGTTGCGCTTGAGTGACGGACTGGAAGACCAAGGTTATAACGCGACCTATCGTTCGTCGTGCCTTTGACGTCTGCTGTTATCGCGAAAGGGTCTATGTACAGGGGCAACATTGAAGCGATCAACATTGCATACAGGTTTCTTTGATGGAATAAGGGACAAAAGAGAGCCTTTTCCATTGCTCTATACAATCCGACAGCTCTGCTCGGTCCGAGAGCGTATCTTTGCTGCGAAAGTGTCAAGGATTATACTCGTCTATAGGAACTGGGTTTAGTAAGCCGACGAATATATTGTATTTGAATCACAGAACAGAGAAATGTGTCCTTGCGTCTCGGGATCTCGGTCCTGCTTTGTCAACCGCGCAAGGTGGAAAGTCACGTCCCCTTTCGCAATACCACGCAGCCGTCACTCTTCATAGGCAGGAGTTGCGCATTGTATCGCCGTCGTGTGTCGCTGTCGTAGAGAACAGTGTTTGACAACTAGTCCCATCAAGACTGGAGCACGATATTCGTTTCCCTACCTTTGGACAGTAACGGTCTTGGTTCCCCTGCGAGTTGACTCTGAACCCGATCCACAGAAGAGTAAAATATAGGCAGAACAAGCTGATCTGGCCGTAGTATGCACGGCCACCATTGCAGTCTATACGTCAATTTCGATGTGATGGGTGAAAGTCGCGCCCAAAGAGCATACCACGTGCCAGAAGCCAGGCTTCTTCCTCGAACGTGCCACCGAGACTGGGTGCCTCGGTCCTGGAACATGCCGAGGACGCTCATCAGAATGCCATGTCTTTCTCGATAACTGTCCTGCTATGCTATATTGTCTCGGATCAAATTCAACGTCTTTTGTCAGGAGTTCTGTCCACTGCACCAACTCAGGCTCAGTTAGACTAGCGGCGGGTATGCCAGAGTCCAACGCCTGGAGTTGTCAGAACTCTTGGTCGCAGACACGTGTGGACGTTGATAACGCGTCGCTCAGTAGGGAGTCACGTCTGTGAGAAGTCTTCGAGAAGTCTTTCGAAGAAGCAGGGTCAGGTAGGTACCCACCGGGTCTTTGGGTGTCGAGTGTGCGCATTGCCTTCCGGGTAATGAGCCCACGTGTTCTCAACTTTACGGATCGAGATACTGCATTACCTGCTTGCTGCTTACCCATTCATGATGGCCAGTTGGCCTCGTCGACGGAGACTTTCAACGTTTTGATCACTGGGTTGACAGTGACGGGGGAGGTGCGCAGAGATTCATGGATTGGTCCGCCCACCGCAGCATCTGGCAGCATTTTAACAATCTTAACAGCGTTTCGAATCCACCCTTTCCAGACTTCTCTGTCGATTTTGACCGTTGTGATCCGATCAGCCAGTCAAGTCCTGCTTCAGTGGTGGTGGATTCATGTTGTCGGTCAATACTTTAGGTACCAAACTGCTGGTTTTTGTCGCGAAAGCCCATCAAGTCATTGCACCTCAGCTCTCATAAATGCTCACAGTATTCTCGATACTGACAACCACTCAGAATGGCAACTTGCCCCTTTTCAATGCGGTGTCTACCAGCAAGTAGTCTTGTCTTGTGTTGCGGTTGACTCTGGGATATCTGACTGGAGAATGTCTCTCTCAAACATCACGTTAAGTCACTCAGGAAAAGGAGAAGTCAGTGGAGAGGCCGATCGTGTCTCCATGCTGGCAAGCTAATGGGTAGGATTGTATCGACACAACCCAGAGAAGATTTGATTAAAAAATCCGAAAGTTTGTCGCTCGTACTTGTGGAGTAAGGAGAATCTCCGTCCCAAATGAGATAGAAGATGGAGGTTCTGGATGGCTGTAAATGGCAATACTCCTGTGCATTGGAACTTTAACAGATCTTACTCCGTTTGAGTCAGTGCAAGCTTGATGCGTTGCAATCGGTGGAGCCAGGAGCCGTCGAAAGGGTGACTGGTGTCAAGACCATTTTGTCCAAATCTAGTTCGTCCTCGCAGGGGAAACTGGTGCAACCGGCAAAGACAGAATCACGCGCTGATCGTTTTCAATGAATGCACAGATGGCTTTCGGCTGTCGGGTGAGCCTTGGTGAACGTGTACGTCTAAGAAGCGAGAGACCATATCTAGTCTCGCGTGAACTCGATATCAGGCAGATGGAGCCCTATCAAGCACCAATGCAGCAGAAGATACTCAGTTTGTCGGAACTGCAACCGAAGAGGTTCAGGAGGTATCGATAGTGGTGCACGAAGCGTTCGTGGTGGATAACAGCCCCTCGTCCAATGTGGTCGGCGAGGTCCCCGCAACCTGGGACCGAAGCTGTGCTTAGGGTAGCAACGAAAGGAAATGATCATCGTCGGTTGAAGACCCTGATTCGCAAAAATGCCATGCGCAACTCGTGCAGCATAAATCTCCTGGTGCCGCTTGGGGATGTGCCGAACTTGCACCCCTCAAGGCTACACGGAAGGACTTGCCGGTGGGGTCTGTCAACAGCAAGATTTTCCCAAGAAAACTTACCCCTACCCGGAGACCCTGGTTGCACATGCGGGGGTTTATGGTTTTGCGACATATCATTTCTTGCCCTGGTTGCGACAATCCTCGTTGGAGCGCATCGTGGTGACTTTAGGGGGGTGTTGAAATGGTAGTTCAGATATGCAGGGCTCGATCGGCGGACGTTGTTCAGGGTCTCTGTACATCAACGTTGCTGTCGATGGAGATGGTGAGAACCAGTAATCAGGACATCTGACTCGAGACTTGGCAAACAATGATACCCCTCTTCCATATAGCATTCTCCAGGCGCCATTCACTCAAGATGGCGATGCTTCCTCGGTCTGGGGTTCAGGGAGGTTTCTTCCGGACAGGCAAGACGGCGGTCTGAGAAAGCGGACAAGCGCACTCAACCCCCAGATACAAGAGCGAGACGAGACGCTTGATCTGCTGAATGACAACATAAATTGTTCGATGGCTTAAGCCCTTAGCTTCAAGTGGAAAGAAGGAAGGCGCTAGTCCACTGCCATTGTGCCGTACCGGGGTTGTGATCAGTCGAACTTAGCTCGCAATCGCCAGCTAAGATTGTGTCGTTTAGGTGCTTCTGTGTACAAAGACTGGCTGAGACAAAATCTGAGTTCCATGGCCACCTGGCGCCACTGCAAATAAGGACAACCGAGCAACGAAAGTATGATATCCACATTAGGGGCGGAAATGACGAGGTCCGAGCCTGACTCCGAAGGTCGGTCGTGCGGGTGATGCCTCCAGCAGCCGTAGAATTGAGCCAGGCAGCAAATCGCCCACTGTACAACTGGAGGGCGAGCTTCCAGAGGAATACGCGCGCTGTCGTAGATTGATGTTATTTGCGCGACGCTTCGACACCATGATCCTGGTGATGTGCGCCTCTAGACACCGAGAAGTCGACTTGCCTCGCGACTGTCGTTGATGTTTTGAGAGGTGGGGAAGAGAACCTAGCCATGTCCTGACTAGGAGATGATCGTCGGTAGCCCAAGATAGGTTTTCTTAGCACAAGAGCGCTCTCTGGTTCGCCCACGCGCACATCCGGCACGAAGGCCCGAGGATCGAAAGGTCCGTGCAGTTGCGAAAGCCATGAGATCCAGAGACAGGGTATTGAAAACACCTGGCCAGCAAGGCTTGGGGGGAACCAATCTTACTCCCAGGGGCAACGTCATCCTGCGAAGGAGCAGGCCCTTGCATCGAATATTGTTCCGCAATCTGTCTGTCGTGTACGGCTGCGAGCACCTAGTTTTCCTCCAGCATCACTGTCTATGCAGCTCTCTGAACTTTGTTTGTTTAACTCAAGGAGGAGGAACTAGGCTGAGCGCTCCCAGCTCAGGCTAAGGGGGCAGTGATTGAGGACTTTGGGGTCATTGGACACTAATCCTAGGCCTACACGGGGTGGCAAGATGGTTAGCAAAGTCAACCCAAGATGGCAGTTCCCAGATGAGCCGGTGGCTGCTCTCAGAAGTTAAGGCCGCCTGCAAGGAGTCCGAATTACGTACAGGTGATTGGCACAAACCTCCTCAACATGTGAGACGGGCTGAACGGGATGGGAGGAATGGGAGGATAAGGACCGCAGGATGAAGGTTTTGGAAACTGCTGCCGCAGGGAAGTGAAAAGGCACGGACAATGGGTATCTCAATGCAGCAAGGGGGGGCGGCAGAGAGCTGCTGAATGTAGTCATTGACTTTTGGGTTGGGGAGAAGAGGTGGATGAGAAAGGAATCAGACTTTGTCGTGTGTCGGCTCCCCGCCTTTGAACATTTCCAGCTTTTTTCCAGCTTTCACACCTTTGTAGGCCTTGCACCATTCCACATTGGATTGTTTGTGGATGGAAGTGGATGATGCGGACAGCCATTGTTGGGCTGAGTTTGCTGTGTTTGTGGAGTTTGTGCTTGACAGATGGCGCTAGTGAAGTTGGTGGCACTAGGGTAGCTAGGGGGCCACTAGGGGTTTACGAGTCCAATTAGACATACTCATCCTTGCCCATCGCCGACTAACCACCCAATAATATCAACCCCGTCGCCCCCCCAAGATGCACGTCAATGCTGCTGCCCCATGCGAGCCACTTGACTCCGTACACCGAGATCCATCCCTTGCGTGCTTGTCGCAGCCACCATTTCGGATCCTTGTTGCCGGCATTTATTCGCCTCTATCGATTGGTTGCTGAGCATGCATCTCTACTTGTGGTCGCCACTCTCTGCTGCATTCGGTATTGCGATGGCTTGGATGCAGAGACTCCCTCGCCCACAAAGGGATTCGAGATACGGGACATGGCTTTTGCCTCAATCCATGCCAGCCGCAAACATCTCAAATCATGCCTTTCGGACTCCATCGCTCACCCTGAGCGTTGACAAACGTGGTCCATTTATACTCGTTGCGACCCTGGAATGTTCCCCTCTGTTCGTCCACCCGTCACGCACGCCCTTGAAATGAGGTGCATTGACCTAGCTACTAATTTACCTGTCCTCAACCTTACGTGTTTGTCAACAAACTTGACTTGGATCTTTCTATTTACCTGAACCCCTTCAAGATCAGCACGTCCTGGATACCTCGGTATCCATTGGATCACTCGCTGCCCATGTTGCAGGCAAGGCTAGACATTCTCTACATGCGAGACACCGAGGCGACCATGGAAACATCGGAACCAATCATGGCGCTGCCGCCGATTGATGGCCCGGTCGGCGTGCCTCTGCTTGCTAGAGATACGACTCCCAGACTCTCACAGATGTCTCAAATCACCCTCGAGAGCTCCCAACCGGAATGGCATAACTACGGCGAGCCGTGCCCCAGCCCTAATATTCCAACGGGCTGTGATCCCAAGTCCAGAGCACACATGCCTCAGTTCCGGCAATCCAGAAGATGGGCCAAAATGTATGCCTGGTCGCGCGCAGAAATGGAGGCAGCTCCAAGTTCTCTTGACCACCAAAACCGCTCTCCAGCTAGGAATCGTTGTTCTTCGGTTGCCGTCAGCAATCAACATGTCGGACGCCCACTCTCTTTACAGCCACATTATGGTCTACCTAGAGCGATGGCCAAGAGTCTTGGACGTCCAAAAGCCCGCCGCAATATCAGCGATGCCAGCGCGGCTTCTCCTCATGGCGGCCTCTGCGTGCAAAGTGCCGCGTATTACTGGCGATGCGTCAAGCCTCTCATCAGCAAGGTACCTCGCGCAGGCTCTAACGTGTGGCCGAGCAGACGCACCGGAACTCGAAAAGCGACGACGAGACGCCAGGATGCTGCGGGCCGGCGCCCCTCAGCTCTAGTGTTCGTGCCCACTCATTCGAGGCGCGCAAGCACTCTGGAAGGCGATAGTCACCCAACCTGTTGCGAACCAAGCACGACTCTCACCAACGGGGTCCTTGGATCATGCCTTATGGAACATGGTGGGTGTACCGGGCTTGCAAGCTCGTCGTCGATGCCCTCACTTCGTGGTCCAGTCATCAACGACAGATTTTCAAACCAAAGCAGAACTGTATTGAAAAACGTCAAAGTCGATAACGATCGCTCGCTGCCGACCACCTCGACGGTGCCTTCTGTCGTCATGCGATCAACAACAACAAGTAAACACATGTCCCACGATTTCGCTCCAATATCCGAGAAGCCTGTCCGCAGACTCGTACCCTCGGAATATGCCTTCAAACCACTGCCACCGTCCCCAAAAGAATCGACAATTTCTCTTCTGGACGACAAAGCCACCCCGGCCGTCTCAGCTCTCCCCCCTCAGCGTCGGGAATTAGCAGCTCAAGCTTCAAAAAACACTCTCAGCAGTCTTGACACCGTTCTTCACAATGCGCAGAACGAGTCGCGGTCAGTGGTTTTATCTTCAGGCCAATCTCGTCAGATGAATTCGCGACTCCTGTCCCATGGCTCCACTCCCAACTTGAAGCCCAGGCCTACACATACAGGGCCTGTAGTTCGTCTCTCTTCTGCTCGTTCAGCCAAAAGCGCCAATACTCTGGCAGGAATAGAAGCCCAAGTCCAAAAGATGGCGCACTACACCATCGATGTGGAAATCAAGCGAAATGGATCCGTGGATTCTGACAGTCGGTACAGCGGACCTCCTCCCACCATACCACTGCCCGCGTTGCCGCCTGAAGCACACGATGCAAAACTTGGTGTCGCCAAACCCTCCCAAGACTCGTCCAGGGTGGAAGGAGGTCGTGATGAGACTCTGCAAATTTGTCTTCACCTCGAGCACCGTTCCATTCAAAGCACTCGAGCCGACAAAGTCCGAGAACGGAGGATGCGCGATCTTGCCAAGTCACGCAGTCCTAGGAGCAAGCTTGACACTGTCGGAAAGCATCAAACTTGCGAGAAACCCTCCGTCTCTAAAACACCACAAGCTCTCACATACCAGGCCGATGAACTCGATCGATTCCCAGCCGTCCCCGAGTCGCGACCAACAAGTGTTTCGACTGCGTCCTGCTATAGTCGCCAGCACAGCCCGGAAATGAGAATTCGTCAACCAGGTCGCTTGTCCAAAGCCAAATCAAGCGAAAGGCAACGGAACATGCCTCAGAAACTCAGTCAGAGTAATATCTTCGTCGTCGTCGATACTGACCCTGTCACCGCGCGTTTTCGCGCCGGCGCTGTAAGCCCAAGATTCAGCATTGCAGGCAGCGCCACTGGACCAACAAGTCCGAAGACTACACGAACCCCTTCAAAACTCAGAGAGGTCATGGCCAATAGGCTGAGTCTTTGCGAGAGTCCAAGACGAGGTGCTGTTCTCGGCAGCCCAATGGAAAGCCCGAGACGCAAAGCTGCAGGAACTAGCCCGTCAGGGGAGCAAGCTCTCAAACTCCGTCGCTCACGTTCCTACTCGAGCGGCCAAAGCATGTCCCCTGGAAGAATCGACAGCCCAACTCCGAGCAGTTCTAGTGAAGACCAATGGCTGACGCCCGGGGAGAAACTCTCGCCAGTTAAGCCAAGCAGCCAACAGAGGAAGCGTCGACGATGGAATAGCGGTGACATTAATCTTGTCAAACAGCTGCACCAAGACCTGCACGACTACTATGTGACAATCTTAGAGCAAGAAGAGAAAATCAAGGTGCAAGCCAGTCAAATACAGACCATCATGAATATGTTTGCACCAACGAAACACACTCACGGCCGGCAAGACTCTCTATCTCTTCAGGACTCCCCTGGTCGGGACACCCATTCGGGCCACAGACAGATCAGAAAGTGTCGAAGCGCACTCGCTGAGAGGCGGCCGCCGAGCTCCGGTTCTCGCTCTCGCTTTCCGCTAGATCGTATCAACGAACGGACCCTCAACATCCAAAGCCACAAAGTAGTGGACAAAAGCGATGCAGCGAGCACGGCCCCTTCCTCGGATACCATGTCGCTAGCATCGCTCAGAGCTAGTGCTTCTGACACGTCTCTGACAGAGCAGGAAAGACTTACAGCGCCCAGTCGCAAAGGAAGTTCTGACGTGGAGAACTGGGGTTGGATATAAATTATACGCAACGATATTGATGGACATTTACGAGGATATGTGTATTTATGGGGGCAAATTTGAAGTCAAATCTTGGTCGAACAGGAAAGGTTCTCGAGGCAAAGGGGGCCTCTAACTGGCAGTTGTTAGGTTAAGCAACACTTTAATGATGAAAAGTAATTCCGAACAAGAGGACAAGAAATCACGAACTGAGCCACCTCCATCCACGGTCTCCATCCGCAAAACAGCGACATCGATCCATCAAACGCGCCTTCACATTTGTCGTAGAAGATTCTGGTCGAAAAGATATATATCAGTCACGTGTCAGGCTGACGCCAAGCACTACAAGGCTGTGGCGACAGTCATGACTCGAGCCTGAAAACTGAATAAACATCATCTTCAAAAGTTCAGTTATCCTCTGACAACGAAGAAGAGAAATATAGCGCTTTGTCATTCCGGTACAGATCAGAAGCAGAATACATCAAGAAACATGTCCACCAGCGCCAACGACACCCACAACGACACCCACAACGACACCCACAAACCACTAACATCCCTCCCGTTCCCTCCCATCACCCCATCTCACATCCTAAACTGCTCTTTCCACTCATGGTATCCCCGTTGCCGTTCTCTAACACCCAAATCCCGTCTTATCCCTCTCTCTCAGCCATTTCTGGACTATCTACGCGCCGATGGCATAATCCTACCACCTGAGCGCGGGCCCAGCGATGCTGACAGTGGATTTGAAGACGGTTTCCAAAACGACGACGAAGATGAGAACGAAGATCCTTCGGAACAATGGGCCGATATACATTCCAAGATCCGTTCTACGATCTCCGAACTAGGAGGCAAAGTGATGCCCAAGCTCAACTGGTCAGCCCCCAAGGACGCCACCTGGATTGCGACCACAAATGACATGGAATGTCGAACTCCAAATGACGTATATCTGCTACTGAAGTCAAGCGACTTCGTCACGCATGACTTGGAGCACGCTTTTGACGGATGCACCATCGCAGAGAATACGAATAGCGCCGATCGAACCGAAGGTGATTGTGGAAATGCCTCTGGCGATAGCAAGGAGAAAGCATTTCCCCAAGTGCCCTACCATCTTGTACTGCGGAAAGCATTCAATCTGAATCCCTCGCTGGAATTTCGCTGTTTCATCCGAGAAGGCAGACTCATTGCGATAAGTCAGCGAGAGATGAACCACTTTGATTTCCTCTTCGATCTGCGAGATTCTTTCAAAAAGTTGATCCAAGAATTTTTAGAGCAACATTTGCTACCTGGTAGCGGAGGAAAGGCCTTTTCAGACGAGAACTTCGTGGTGGACGTTTACATTCCACCACCACACGACCGTGTGTGGCTGATCGACATAAACCCTTGGGCACCACGAACGGACCCATTACTATTCTCGTGGCTGGAGTTGCTGCAACTGCCGATCCCAGAAGCGTCAGGGCCAAAATCGAAAATAAGAGAAGGACTAGATTGCGCAGATCGAGAAGGGGACGAGGACTCTGAGGACGAAGAAGAGGACGAAGTGATCTTTGACCCCGAATTTCGACTTGTGAAACGCGACGATCCAGAGGCGTATCAATTCTCAGCGACAAAGTACTCGGCTCATAAACTACCTAAGGAAGTCGTCGACGCGAGCATGACGCCAGGAGATATGAAGAACATGATGGAGGAGTGGAGGAAAGTCATCGACAAGCAGGTCGCAGAAGACGATGACTCGGACTCGGACTCGGACTCGGAACATACTTGAGCACCATTTAAGGAAATGAAGACATCTTTGTTCTCTCAACCGTTGCAAATGGATCCATCCTTCTAAACCACGACCTACAATATCGGTTTCTTACGAGAGATATGCAACCCCCCCCCCCCCCCCCCCTCTCCTTCTTCGAATCGCTCCAGGCAATGCAGCCGAAGGTGCAATATTGAGCTTCTCTTTGGCTTGAGCAACAACAATAATACAGAAAGGCATAAGGCCAATACTCTACTCTGCGAGGATCTCGACGGAATGGCCATCTATCATCTTTTAGGCAGGTGGGGGGGACGGCTGGAGTTGATCTCTTGTTGCGAGACAGCTTTACAAGAGCGCTTTCGGCGAGATGAGCGCTCTAATCGCCACGGTTTTCGTATTTTCGACCGTCAGTCATCGTGGTTGAGAATCTTTGGCTTTATGGCCCTTACCATGGTGGAGAGACCGCGCTTGGGCACTCCGTGGACTTGCCATATCGGCTTTCCGAGCTCCAAGCTTTTCGATCTGTATTGTCGCTCTACCGACGTTTTCCCAAGGCGACCAACTTCTCGAGGTGTTTGCGCTGCCATCCAGGTACCCCCTGCAACCTTCTGCCACTGGGATCCCAGTACGCCTCTCTGAATCCCTATGGATGATGTCGGTGACGTGACGATTACCGTCCCGTGGTTGAGGGATGGATGACGAAGGATCAAGCAGAGGCAATTCATGTTGTCCGTTCTAGCCGTCAATTGGGTTCGAACTATAATGTATCTTGCCTTGCAGGAAGAAGACTATGCCAACCACCCACAATTACCCGCATACCCATGCTTCAACGTTGGTCGCCTGAAACCATGTTACCCAGCACCCTTGTCCACCAGATCCAAGGGAAAGGATTCGCGAACCCGCACCCTCTTCGTATCTGAGACTAAGCGTGACTACCAACCTTGACAGCGTTTTAGGTCGTTTGATGTCATAGTACAGATAGCGGAAGTTGAGAAAAAGATCAATGGAGTCAGCAATGAACTCAGCTGGTATGGTTGACTCGGAGTCCGGACCTCCTGGCGCCACGTAAAAGTCTCGGGCACACTCACAGCCTGCTCAAACACTGTCATCGCCGTCGTCATTGCATCCGACCATGGTTTGGGCTTGTTGCGGCGGAAGGTGAAGAAACCATGCCCTGACTTCCACCTCATAGCATCGCCGATGTATATGGATGGAGGTGGAATTAGATTTAGAGAACACTACGTGAGGAGTAAGCCTCGAGGATTATTTTGCAAGCCGGTCAAAGGCCCCTGATCATGAGAATCATTGATGATGACGACGAGGGGAAGCGAGGGACAATCAGGGCCGTTATCGATAGCCAAATGAGATTCGCGCTAACCGTATACGGGAAAACACCAACAACGCGCAGCCAGAGGTAGAGTCTGCCACCCTCAGGCTTTAACACTGTTTAGACAAGACATCTTGCCATGATAGGACACCCTCTCCTTTTATAGGTGCCGAAGCACTACAATAACAGCTAACAGCTTCATCCAATCCATACAAAGTACATCCAACAATATGCCTGGCGAGGAGACCATCTTGGAAGGACCCGTGACGCCGGCCCCAGTATTCGCCTACCGCGCCATTCGAAGCGTCTTCTTCGCCTCACCCGACTCCTCGCCCGACTCTTCGCCCGAGCATGGCGGCAAAGAAAATCTCGTGCCTTCGTACTCCTCATCGCCATCACCGAAGCCAAAGCCTCTCGCAGAGCTCCAATTGTCACCGTCACAGAAGCGAAAGAGGGGAAGCAACACCACAGGTGCGGGTAACATCCTTTCGCCTACAAAGGGCATCCTGCGGACGCCGGGACTGGCGACGCCGAGAGCAAAATATCTGAAGGACATCAATGTCAAATTCAAGAGTGTCAGCCCCGAAGGCCCCAAATCAGCCACTCTGCCCGTCTCTCCCAAGCAGCCAAAGACCAAACTGCAGCACGCGCCACCGGCCCCTCATCCCTCAAAGTCCAGCATCGAGCTGGCATCACCCACGAGGAAGAAGGCATCTTCCAAGTGGCAGGACCCACTGCAGGATGAACCATTAACGGCACGGGGCATTCCTGCAACAACCGCAACAACCACCCCAACTTCGCCATGCATACTCTCCCGAGCGGCGATCGAAGCCTACGTAACCCAAACCGAAAAGGAAATGAAGAAGTTGGTTCGCTACGGACAGAAAATGCGCGAGTACGCGCGCAAGAAGGATGCGGAAAACCAGGAATTGAAGGCCATGATTGAACAACTTCAAAGGGAGAACGGGAGGTTGAAAAGAGGCGCGGAGTCCGCGACTGATTGCCAGTTCAGCGCCAACCATCCTCCGCAGCTACAGGTACAACCGAAAGATAACGGACAGGACAGGAGGGCCAGTGTTAGGACGGTAGAGACGAGTGCGTCGCCAGCGCTCAGGCACAAACCTCGGGGCTACGTCCGGGAGGAAGTCGATAGGGTCGAAACAACAGTGCGGAGTCAGACGACAAGGGATTCAAAGGACCATAGGCACACTAGCTTGTCGAATGCTGCCACAGCAGAACAATCAGGCGGCGTCTGCGAGCCGCCAAAACCTCCCCCCAGTGGCTGGGGCACCATCGCGAGCGAGCATCCACCCACGCTCAAGCGATCAACATCAACGCCGACACCAAAACGAACAACTTCGTCCTCGGCGAGGCTGCTCGTATCCCTCCCCAGCAATTCACCTGCGTCTTCAGAGATAAAACCAGCAACAACATGCATGCGCTCCGCCTCGGCCAGCACCACCCTAGCTGCTAGACCTGCCGCCACAAGGCTCCCGCCGGAGCGCATCGCAGCAGCACGAGACCGCATCCGCCGACGCAATGAAGCAAGGAAAGCAAGTGTTCAAGTTGACGTCGCTGCCTCGACCCCGGGCAAGAAGGGCGAGGGACATGCTCCGCACAATGGCCGGGAGCTAGTCCTGGAGCAAGAGATGGGACAGCAACCGGAGGAACCGAGCGAGGTCGACTGGGCAAATCTCTGAGCCTGAATGTGTACTGTCTCGCCTACAAGCTACCCAAGTCCGCTATTCCTCCTCCTCCTCCTCCTCCTCCTCCTGATAGGTGCTGCTACCGTGCAACCAAATGTGTATGTACAATATGTATGTACGTAGATAGATAACCCATCTCTCAGGCCCTTTCGTCCCATACCAACATCGACATCGACATATTCATTTACAAGTCAAGGCATAATCAAACCAACCTATTCAAGTCCAAGAAGGACAGACAAGGAGGAGACAAAGCAGTAAACAGAAGCTCAAAAGAAGAAAAAAAAGGGAGGCTAGCTAGCTAGTGCATTTGGAGCCGGTAGGGACGTTCCAAGTCTACCCAGCTGAGATACAGTACCTATGTAGATGCGTCTGTTCTCTGGTAGCTCGTAGATATATCTACCTCCTCCACCGCTGGATGCTGACTGCTGAGGGTGGATCCCGGTCATATTTTCCTCTTCGTGGAGAATACAAAGTCTATATGGTATCATATCAGATTTGGACAAATGAACCCTCCCAACGCTCGTTTTATATGAGGCCGATCGAACTGGGTTGCTTCTCAACCGAGGCTCTCAGTGGCGACGGCCATTTCCCCGGTCTGCGTCCCTTGCGTCCGACTCAGAGTGGGATATTGGGCCTGCTCGCGTTGAAATTGCAGCTCGCGCTGTTCTTCGGCCTTCTTCGCAGCCTTCCGTTTCTTCTCCGCTTCCTCCCTCTCGCGCGTCTTGATGGACGAGTAGTTCAGGGCTGAAATGATCATGACTGGTGTCATCGTTAGCGTTGGAACACACAACTCCAAGGACATGGATTGGGGGCCGAAACAACTTACAAGCACAGAACCCTATCGCCAACGCCGCGCGACGGGTCAACACCCACCGCAATCCCTCCACCTCGCTCCTGGCTTCACTATTCAGCAGCACTGTGATTTCATAGTTGAGTTCCGAAATTTTGCTATCAATCTTGCGCTTGTCTTCCTGCAGGCCCAGTTTGCGGTCGTTGAACAATCCCTTGAGTTCCTCCTTGAGCGTCATCAGGTCTTGCGTCACCTTTTGATTCAAAATGTCATACTCGTGCTGCAGCTGTGCTCGTTGGCTGCGCTGCTTCAGCGTCTCGGAATGTCGTGTGCTTTGCAGGGTGGTTTTCAGCTCGGAGCATGCGGCGCGGAACAGGTAGGACTCGTTCTCAATGTCAGACTTGGAGACAAGGCCTTCCTTGGCGACATCGAGATTTAGCGAGAGCATGAGCCGGATGGCTTTCATCAGCGTTATCGCCTGGTCAAGGGTATACGCGTCCTTAGCCGCCAATTGTTGGACGAGCGAGTAGGTGTCGAAGTGATGCTCGTACGGAGATGGTTCGAGGTGTGGGTGCTTGGGTGCGTCCTTGCCTTTGACTTCTGACGGAGAGGGCACCGCGAGAATCAGGTCGAGCTCTTTGTTGTCCAAAGGTTTGTCATCTTCCACATTGATTTTCTGGCTTTTCTTGGTCATGGATGCCTCGTCAATATAGTCTGCGTTTGAAGCTTGAGGCTCATCCTGCCCGACTTCTTCTGCTGTGGGCGCATCTTTCGTGGCACCCGGTTGAGATTGTTCTTTGCTCTCTTTCGACTCGTCCTTTGCCTTTTCCTTGTCTCTGGCTTCTTGCTGAGGATTCGCTGGTTCCGAGGGTCTTGAAGGAGGCGGCAGGTTCTGGGAAGCAGCTGGTCCGTATCTCTGCGGAAAAGCGTCCTGCGGGCGCGGCGCAGAGGTATGGAGTTTAGCCTTGCGGCGTGGTTTGGCCGCAGCTGACGGGCGGGCACGAATTGAATGGTACGTGGTAGGCTCGCACGCACGCACAGCGCGCAGGAAATTCGGGTATAGAAATGGCAGGCGTGGAGTCGCCATGTCTTCGTGAGCGGAACAGATCCCCGCGTGCAAGGCTCCTCGTCGCTGCTCAGTTATTGTGAAACTGGGTTTTCTATGCTATGCTCCGCAAGTAGAAAATGTGTTGTCATCGGCTATTGTTGGCCTGCATCGGAGTTTCTGCTGACGGAGAAAGGTAATACCGAGTCCGGCCTTCCCCTCCCTCCCAACGACGGCTTCCATGAAGATATAGCTCGAACTTGTGTAGCAATCCCAAATATCCCATCCTATGAGATTTGCAGAGTCATTGACGCTTCATATAAAGGCTTAGACGTCGTGGATGCCCTCATCCCCAAATATCGAGGTATAATCCATGGATTTTCGTCCCAGAGATTTCAGTTTGTCAAACTGTAAGGGAGTTTTAGCAGATTGACACGATCCGAACAGCAGAGCCTCACCACACTGATATCTAGTGCTTCCAGAACTCGCAAAAAAAGATGTCTATGGCGAAGAAAGTCATCATCGCAAACTGAGCCAAGCGCTGATATCAGCTCGAATATGGAACGTTGAAGACAGTCGCCAAGACAAGACAGAGAATACAAGAACCACTCCCCAGACCGCCGCGTTTGCATTCTATGTGGGATATCATCACACATCTACAGTGCCGGTGGTACCCGACTCGTTCGGTCACATGCCTACAGTCTTTGATGCAACGCATCTCCATTGGTCATATCCGCTGAAGCGGGCTTTCGAGTGGAAGACATACGCCAGCAACAATGCAAATAGCCAGCCAAGGATTCCAAGAGAGAATTGTTTTCCGTGAACATATTCCAAGGCAGAGAGCAAAGACGTGGTATGAGACTGCAAATATACCAATGAGATTGAGATGAACGACTCGGGCAACATACAAGGACGTCTAACCTATCAGAGCAGCTGAGACTGGATCGAGTTATTGAACACGGTCATGTCCTACCAGCACTGAGGATCAGACCTGCATCTCGCTACGCTTGTCGCCGGGGCGTTACTCATCAGACTACGAGCCTCCCGAAGCGATGGGGAGGGGACTTTCGAAAGCCTCCAAAACTCAGATTAAAGCCTGCATGCGCAACATCAGGTTTGGGGTTCCCAAAGTTGGAGAAGCCAATAAGGCGTCTTCTGGACAGTGGGTGTACTGCAAGATCGAGACACTATTCGCGATCTGATGATGGTCGTCGGAGCAAGAAATCCGGTCCTCGATCTGCAGAGAGCCATCATGCAGCTCGAAAGCCAGATTGGCAGGGACTAGACCAGATCTCACCCTTGCAAGACGCACAGCCTTGCGGCAGCCTTACAGCAATACTCGGATAACCCCATGAAGCCCGATGCATCGGTTGGTTGACGAAAGGAGAATATCCAAAGGCCATCAACGTACACCTTGAAGACAGAAGACACCTCCCAGCATTTGCGAGACCGAAGGGTGATGAACAGTCTCTGGTTAGAGAATCACTGGTCCTGCACATTGTCGACATACGGTCTGGCGGGGAACAGCAGGAATATACGGGTAAGTGGACGGTAAGTCAGATGTGCCACTACGATAGCAGTTGTGCCGCTAGAGCCTTGTGGGGGATATCTCGGTCGTGAATTGAATTGGGGCCAGCAGAAATCGTGATCTGTATCCACAGATCTAGAGTGCATGCGGCCAGGGGCTGGACGCTTGCCCACTAGGGATTCCCATGTGGCGGCAGGCTGGCTTCAGCTGTCTGTTCAAGTTGCTGTCGTCGGAAAATGCGGACTTCATCGGCCGTTTTAGGAGAAAATGGGCGATTCGTCGACGGCAGATCGTTTAGGCGAACACGATCCGATAAAGGGACGGTTGGCCGGGTGTGTTTTGGGCAGGGAATTCCCCAAGCTCCCCACATGTTCCCATTTGCAGGCCGAGCTTCCGCCTTTTGATACCAAAATAGTACATTTGTTTACATGAATGGGATTGTGACCACAGCATCGGGACACTAACTGTTCAACCTTTCCGAACCACGGAAGAAATATTCTCTAGACTGAACCGCCATGATGTGCAGCGGAAAAGGCATGGAGTCCGAGTAAATCCCGCTCGTGCATGGTGTAGGAAGGCCATCCGATGCAGGGGGACGCGTGTGTTTGGAGGGTCAGCATCGAGGTCTCGACGTTCTAAGCGCTCTCTTGTCATCCTTTTGTCGCAGCACACATGACCCTCGCCATGAAACCCTGCAAGTCACTGAGACGTCAAAGCCGTTGAAAACGAGGTTTGATCGACATGGGAACGGAGGTTCATGGACAACGCAAAGGCTCGGCGGGGAGGAGGAAGGCATTCAAGTGCCGTGCGTCAGGCGGCAAGCGAGCCGGTCGACCTGGCATGAGAGCCTTGGAGCTCAGACTCTGGAGGAGCAAGCATTGGATGGATGTCGGAAGATGAGTGGTGGGGCAAGCTAGAGGACCATGACAGTGACTGGCAGTGACTGGCAGAGCTCCGCAACAAGGACGAAGAAAAGAGGGGGAATGAAGGATGATGTGTGGAAAGATTCGTTGCCCTAAGAGCACAAGGACACAGCAAAGAGGGAAAAATCTTCGTGTGTGGTCATTGGAAATGGGACGATGGTCACAAGGTTATAAATGCGCTGAGCGGTCGTCCGAAGACGAATGGAATTTTTGATTCTTTTGATATTTCACTGCAGTACTACAGTTTCTCAATTGACCATCGGCCTCGTCTATTGAACAAGTTGGATTGAGCCTTTTGCAGGTACGTACTCCAGCCTACCAGGCACTGGTGGCCGCTCGCGGTGACTTCCTTCCTGCATTATTATTATTCCTATCACTATGCCACTCTCAGTGTTTTTGTTTTCGGGCATCTTTCCCCGGGGCGCAGCTTGCTTACCGCCGCAATGGCCGCGGGGGTTTCGGCCAACCTCCTATGCTGCTGAGCAGCCTGGGAGGAGGAGCAGCTCACGCCCATGACCTCCAGCTTACGGCGTTAATTCTCCTTGTTGCTACCTGCGACCACTGCAAGCTGCAAACTGCCCCTCCCCGCCAGTCCATTCTCCCTGCGCTTTCTCCTCATGCATTGGGTTCCACCCTCCCACCTGATGATCCACTCATTCCCCCTCCTCCCCCTTCCACATTCACCCATCAATACCGGCCTAATCTCTGTCACCGAGTACATCGTACTCTGTGGCAACTGCCCCCGATGCATACCACACACTCCCCCGAATACTTCGTCATATTCTTTCAGCCCCCTTGCCCCCCTCTAACTGCCTTCCTCCTACTTAGTCTCCCCACCCAGTGTCCCGGCCAAGCTAACTGGTACTGTGTTACTAGTGGAACAATTAAGGTACTGCTCCCCAGGCTCAAAGCTCTGCCGGCAGACGCATCCTGCCACACCTGCTCATGACATTATTGACCAAGCTACAGGCCCAGGTCTTACTACAAAACCACTTTACCGCCTGTTTATCTTTTCAAAAACTTTTCTACTTGCTCACCACCTCGACTCTCCTCTCATCTCACTTGTCCTTTTCACAATGGTATTTGCTCGTGCTGCTGCGCGTTCTTTGTCGCGCCCCGCCTCATCCCTCTTTGCTTCTTCCCCGCATCTTGCACGCCGTGCAGCCATTCCCTCTATTGCCAAACGTACACTGACAGCCTCTGCTTCACGTCAGGGCAAAGTCCTTCTCGTCCTCTATGATGTATGTCTCTCTGGTCTCTCACTCTACCAGTGCCCCCAAATATCCAAAGGTTCAGTTGCTAACACTCTTTGTAGGGCGGCGAGCACGCTAAACAACAACCCGGCCTCCTCGGAACCACAGAGAACGAGCTAGGGATCCGAAAATGGCTTGAGGATCAAGGACACACTCTGGTCACCACCTCGGACAAGGAGGGCGAGAACTCCAAATTTGACCAGGAGCTCGTCGATGCCGAAGTCATCATTACCACTCCGTACGATGCACCAAACCGTGTTGGGGTTGACTTGAACTGGAGTCACTAACATTTGCTTCTAGTTTCCACCCTGGTTACCTGACGGCCGAGCGTCTTGCCAAAGCAAAGAAGCTGAAGATTGCCGTCACCGCTGGTATCGGTTCTGACCATGTCGACCTGAACGCCGCTAACGCCACCAATGGCGGTATCACCGTTGCTGAGGTCACTGGCAGCAATGTCGTCTCAGTTGCCGAGCACGTTGTCATGACCATCCTTACCCTTGTCCGCAACTTCGTTCCTGCCCACGAGCAGATCGAGAGCGGAGACTGGAACGTCGCAGCTGTGGCTAAGAACGAATACGATCTCGAGGGCAAGGTTGTTGGTACCGTTGCCGTTGGACGTATCGGAGAGCGTGTGCTCCGTCGTCTCAAGCCCTTCGACTGCAAAGAGCTGTTGTACTTTGACTACCAACCCCTCAGCCCTGAAAAGGAAAAGGAGATTGGCTGCAGACGTGTCGAAGACCTCGAAGAGATGTTGGCCCAGTGCGACATTGTCACCATCAACTGCCCTCTCCACGAGAAGACCCGTGGTCTGTTCAACAAGGACCTGATCTCCAAGATGAAGAAGGGTAAGCTGTGCCCTGACCTTGCTTCACTAACGTCAGGCTAACGTTCATTTCTGCAGGTGCATGGCTCGTCAACACCGCCCGTGGTGCCATCGTCGTCAAAGAAGATGTCGCCGAAGCCCTCAAGACCGGCCAGCTCAACGGGTATGGTGGTGATGTGTGGTTCCCTCAACCCGCACCCAAGGATCATCCCCTCCGATATGCCAAGAACCCATGGGGTGGTGGCAATGCCATGGTCCCTCACATGTCGGGTACCTCGATCGATGCTCAAAAACGGTATGCAGCTGGTACCAAGGCTATCCTGGAGAGCTACTTCTCCGGCCGCCACGACTACAAGCCTGAGGATTTGATCTGCTACCAGGGTGACTATGCCACCAAGTCTTATGGCCAAAGGAACAAGAAATAAACGATATACTGTCAAAGCAAGCGCTCTTATTTGCGTGCATGACCACGAAAACAATGATGTGTATCGGCCAGGGTCGAGGGGGTGATGAGC